GGAGGGCAGCGGTGGGGCGGAGCCTGGGCGGTTCTAGAGGGGAGGGCGGGGGTGGGGCAGGCGTGCAGGCCTCTCAGTGCCGTCAGAGCCCTGGGCCTAGGGTGGATGGCGCCCACGCCTGCCCGTGGCGGTCCACGTGTTGTGGCCCAGGCTGGGCTAGGGGATGGCCTGTGGTGACACCCAGTAGCCTGTCCCACTGGGTGGGCACAGTGCCAAGGGCAGCCCTCACTGGCAAGCTGGGAGGAAGGGCAAGGGGGGCTGCAGGTTGGGAGGCTGGGTGGGGCCTCAGCCCGGGCAGCTCTGCCGGAAGCCGCTGGATCTGAGCTGGGCTGGCTCAGGCCCTTGAGTGGCACTACTAGGGGACTCCACTGGCCACACAGGCCCTTACCTTGCGAGAAAACATCAATTTTGGCACCTTCCTCCCACAGGGAGCGATGGGGTGAGTGGGCAAAGGAACAGGACAGTTGAGAACATGGAGCGGACACGTTCTGGCTCAAGAGGCGGAGCCAGAGGGAAGCACCAGGGGCCGGATCGGGCAGCAGAGGGGCCACAGACACCCCCGACCCCAGCCCACGCAGTGAGGCTCAGAGGGCCTCTGGGCTCAGGCCCTGGACGGCCTGCCGGCAGTGGCGACAACTTCCTCCTGTGGCTCAGCTTCCAGGGTGCACAGTGGCGTCATCTGGGAGGCCCAGAGGCAACAGCACCCAGCCCGCCTCCCTTGGCCTGCAGGACAGACATCGCCCTGCCCCCCTTTCCCTCTCGGCAGCCCCTCCCCGGGCTCGGGGGCCTCTGTCCCGGCCTTGATCCTCCCATTCTTGTCTGTTTCTTTTCTTTGCTCCCTGAAATGCCTGACTAACCAGGGTGCTTCTTGGGGTTGGGTATTCAAGGTTTAGGCAAGAACTTTTTCCTGGCCCCCCACCCCACACAGCACAGACACCCAAAAGCCTGGACAGTAAATGGGGGGGGGGGTCTGGCCTCCCTAACCTCGGCCCTCTCTTGAGGACCCCAGGGCAGAGACTTTGGGGGCAGGTTGGCAGAGCCTACCTTGGCCTTGGTGATGGTGCAGTGGAGGGCATTGCTTTCCTGGTCATACAAGAGACTGAAGTCCAGGGTGCCCAGGGCAGCTGCGAACAGAGGAGGGCACAGGTCCCACGCTGGCCACGTCTTGGAGAAGCGTCACCTGCCTGTGTGGCCAGATGAGTCTGGCCTGGGCAGGTGCCATCATCCCATGGCGGCTTCCACGAACTGAGGACCTACTGCAGGCCAGCCCCTCACCCATCCTCCCAGCCCCACCCAACCCTGGGAAGTCACGCCATTCTCCCCTTTCCAGAGGAGGAACTGAGATCCAGAGAGGTCAGGTGGGCACCCAGTCCTGCCTGGCCAAGTGTGAGACCCACCTGAGCTGGGCACCCAGCCAAAAGACTTCCTGCCCTCCTGGTGCAACTGCAAGTCTAGGCCCCATGCCTCAGTTTCCCTCACCTGTGAATGTCACAAGGATCACATGAGAAGGCAGAGAAGAGGAGGCTTTGAGAGGGGCAGGCCTGGCCAGGAAGACCAGCTGATCTGCTCACCAGTCCCCAGAAAACACACAATACTGCAACTCCTCTGTCTCTCGGGCCGCTCGGGGACCCTGGGCAGGCTGTGAGGAGCCAGCTTTGTCCTCATACCGCTGCCCCCAAGTCTCTCAACGGCAGCGGCAACTCCCAAAAGCCAGGGGAGGGTGCAGCCATAATTGGGTGCAGCTGCCTCCCTCCCCGGGGTCAATCACGCAGAGCAGCTGTGGCCTTTCATGCAGAAGCAGCTCTCAGCACGCAGGCCAAGGGGAGGGCAGAGCTTGGGGGCAGTCCCCAGACAGCAAGATACACATTCACGGATGGCTTCAGAAGCCCAGAGTCTGCTCCCAGGCTGCAGGGCTGGTCAACGGGTGTTTCATTCATTCATTATTTACCAAGTGTTTACAACGTGCCAGACTCTAGCGCACAGACATCTGTAAGGCAGGGTCCCTACCCCGAGGAAAGCACAGCTTAACGGGAGGAACAAGTGGAAAGAATTTACTGCAGTAGAACCTGGTGAGCCAGGAGCCTCGGGAAGCCCATGTGAATTGGGACCATCAGGGAAGGCTTCCTGGAGGAGGTGACGTTTCACCTGAGCCACAAGGAATGAGTAGGAGTTGGCTAATGGCACAGTGGGGCTGGGGGAGGTGACATTCCAACCACAGGCCAACCAACAGGCGTGGGCTTAGTGGCTGGTGTGATCCTGGGATAAGAGAAGGCCAAACTTGAAAGACTTTATTCTTCAGGCCAGGACTCTGAGCTAGGCTCCCAGCATGGGTCTAGATACAATTACGGCCCGCTGGCCAAACCTGACCAGGCCCATCCACTTACGCCTCATCTGTGGCTGCTTTCCCGCTTCAGAGGGACCATATGGCCTGCACAGCTGATGTATTTACTATCCGGCCCTTTATAGAACAAGTTTGCAGATCTCTGGGCGAGTGCTGGGGCCCAGCCATAAGTTTCCTGGGTCTGCAGGAAAATGGGCTGGTGAGGGGCCATGTGTATGGAGTGTCGTTTACTCTGAGCTGGTGATGGGAGTGGCATTTGTCTACATCACCCCGTCCTCATACGGGATGGAGCACGTGTCTCTGTCTTTGGCTGCAGCACAGTGTGGGGTGCAAGCCCTGCCCCCTGACATCAGTCTCCTGGGTTCAGAGCCCATCATGCACTTCCCTGCTGTGTGACCAGCTGATCGGGCATCTCTGTGCCTCAGTTTTACTCATCTGTAAAAGGGAGACAACAGCAGCATCCCCCTCACAGCACACAGTCCCTGGGGTGTATGAGGCGCTCAGGAGATCTTTACGGAAGGAGCAGACCCCTCTGGTGGCTTTTCTAGCTCACAGTACTGGCTTCCGTGAGACCCATTCGGAATGAAACTGCTCTAAACTGGACCGTTCCCTTCCTGCCTTTGGGAACAGGACACACACACGGTCACTTAAGCTTTTCCGAATAACCTCCGTAATTTCTTTGGCTGCGATTACTTTTCCGCACGACACAGTCATAGTCCAGATGCGGACGGGGAAATGCGGCAACCCCTCCACTGGGGGTCCCCGGGGGGGGATCCCTCTTTTTGGTTTTCTTCATTTTTCTGCCTCCTCCTTTGACATCAGCCTGAAAGTCCTATGAGATTACTCGCCTCCGGTAGCACAAACAGCTCTCTCACCTATTCACTAATTCCTTCTCCCATAAAACCAGGTGATGACACTTGTTAGAACTGTGTGCAAACTAAGAGCCAGCAGGTCCTGAGCGGCCGGGCGCGGTGACCACGCCTGTAATCCAGCACTTTGGGAGGCTGAGGCGGGTGGATCGCTTGAGCTCAGGAGTTCAACAGCAGCCTGGCCAAACATGGCAACACCAATGTCTACAAAAAATACAAAAATAACTGTGTGCGGTGGCGCATACCTGCGGTCCCAGCTACTTGGGAGGCTGAGGTGGGAGGACCGCTTCAGCCCAGGAAGTTGAGGCTACAAAGAGCATGATTTTTCTACTGCACTCCAACCTGGGTGGCAGAGCGAGATCCTGTCTCAAAAAAAAAAATAAATACTAGGTCTTGAGTGGAGCCAGGGACACGTTCTCCCGAGCAGGGTGTTTGTGCCTCAGCAATAGCCGTAGCTGGCCTTCGGCTGCCTGCGTGCTGGCTGCCATCCACGGGGCAGCAACGAACACGGCCACAGCCCAAGATGCACCAATCGTTCCGCAACAATGTTCTCCAGAGTTGTTGACTTTACGTGACAGTAAATCCATCTGCAGCTCAGGTTGGGCCTACCTGGGGTTTGTTCCCCCAAAGAATTCGCCTCCTGAGCTCAGGGACCTGGTCTTGGCCACACCTGTGAGACCAATAAAGAGCAGATGCAGACACACGTGGCAGTTCCATTCAAACTCACTTGCCCTCCAGGTGCTCCCAGGAGCTTGGATCTGGAGTGCCGCCCATGTGGAAGAATGCACACTCTGTGATTTCTGCCTGTTTCCCAACCCCAGAGAAGGGCAGCCAGAAGACGCAGCTGCCTGCCGTCCTCCCCAGGATACCCAGCTCCAGAAGGGGAGTGTCTGAGGACGGGGTGATCAGACACCTGTTACCACCAACTTGGAGGGAGCGGCACGCCCAGTATGTTACTGGGAAGGGACTGATGAATTTCTTTGAACTCCGAGGAAGGTCTGTAAGAAATGATAGTTTATAAATAGAAGCTCGGTCACAATTTTGAGAGATCTGGCGAAGCTCTCTTAGGGAGCACATGGCCCAAACTCTTCATTTCCCTTCAGAGAAATGAGGCTCAGAGAGGGGAGGTAAGCTGCTCAGCGTGACCCAAAAGACCTGGGCACAGAATCTAGGCCTCTTCAACACTGCCTTAAAGCCTAGTGGCTCCCAAAAAGTTATTTTGTTTGTTTGTCTGTTTTCTGAGACAGGGTCTTGTTCTGTTGCCCAGGCCAGAGTGCAGTGGTGTGATCACAGTTCAACCTCCCAGGCTCAAGCAATCCTCTTAAGTCAGCCTCCCAAGTAGCTGGGATGACAGGCGCACACCACCATGCCCAGACAATTAAAATAATTTTTTTACATAGAGACAGTTGGCGGGTGGGTCTCACTATGTTGCTCAGGCTGGTCTTGAACTCCTGGGCTCAAGCGATCCTCCCGCCTCCACCTCCCAAAATGTTGGGATTACAGGCGTGAGCCACCGCTCCCAGCCCACTTTTATTTTTATATTTTATTTTATTTCGGTCTTGTACTGAGTGAGACTCCAGTTTTAGTCAGGCCAGTTTGCCACTTTGTTTCGCTGACATCTTAGGAGGCTGCAACTAAGAAACGAAAGGAGAGGAAAGCAGAGTAGCTCTGGGGAAGGAGGGTGGGGCTTCCGCGCTGCCCTGGAGAGGACTTCCAGTTGGAAAAGCGCCTCCGTCTTGTGCTGGGAGTGAGGAGGGCCCTGGGGGCAGGGGAAGGCGCTTCTCTGTGAGAGCCACAGTGCCCTGCCCTTGGAGCGCCCAAATCACTTGGCCCCACTGAAGTTTACATTTTCAGAGAAATAATGAGGGTTGGTCACTAATGGGCCTTTGAGAGTTCTCACCCGCCTGTCGATAATTATAGAGCTTTAATGGGGCTGATTCACAGAAAATTCAGCTCAAGCCCCTGTTGGCTCCTCCAAAGCTGAACACCCCCTGCCTGGCTGATGGAGACTGACAGTATCACCATAACCTTGCTTTGCGCCTGGACTTTCCTGACCCACACACCCTTGGGAATAGGAAATCTGCCAGGATTTCTTTTTTTTTTTTTGGAAGAAAAAAGAAAATCTCTTTGTAAATTGTCTTTGTAAACTCTCAAATAGTTTACAAAGACAAAATAACTGTGGCAAGGACCATAGAAAATCATCAAGCCTGTGCTGAAAGCATTTTATACTTGGGGAAACTAAGGCACACAGCAAGTCAGGCACTGCAGGGGGATAGAGAGGAATGAGCCACCATCCCTGCTTCCCAGCACCTTAGAGATGAGTGTTACGATTTTCATAAATATCTTCATTCATCTGCTTTAAATTGTTCAAAGATTCTCCATCAACTCCTGGACACAGTGCAACCTCCTTAGTGTGGCATTCAAGACCTTCTGTGATATGACCGCTTTGGCCTCCTCATCAATCTCCTCCCCTGTTTCAGCCCCTTGGCTCTATTGTTTCTCCTACAATGGGCTGAGTTTCTGACACTTCAGGACTTGTGTACACAGCTGTCCCTCTGCCAGGAGCACCTCCCTTTCCTCCTTCCCCTCTGCCAGCCCACCTCCTCCCTCTTTCCAGTCTTAGAGCTGAGCTCTCTCTGTGAGTGAGCTCTGCAAGCCAGAGCTTCCCACTGGGGTTCTTGCCTCCCTGTACCTCGCTGCAGAGCCACTTATTTTTCTGGGTTTTGATGAATACCCTCAACTCAGAGTCACCTCTCAGCATCCTTGTATCTCTGTGTCTAGCACAGATCCTGCCACATGGTGCTGTCATGTTGAGTGCATTAAAAATATGACAGGTCCAGGTAGAACATGACTGGGGCCAAAGAGGTTCTGGGCTCAAAGGAAGGGCCCCAGGGCCGGTGGGGGCTGGAATACGCCCCCTGCCGAGGAGAGCCTTGGAGGTGCACTCAACACTTTGTCCTTGCCCCAGACCTGCATGGACATCGGTTCTGACCCAGCCCCGGTGCAATCCTGGCCAATGAGACCAAAGGACAGGTCTCCTGGGGACTTCCGGAAGAGGTTTCCTCACTCTTAAACTGAGGCATGAGAGAAGAAATCGGTCCTTACCCAAGGGAGGACCTTATCATTACATGCGATGCCTAGACCCACAGGAGCCACCTTGGACCTGAGGGCCCCGTTTGGCTGATGGAGACGGACAGCATCATTCTGACCTTGTTTGCACCTGAACCTTCCTCACCCAGGCACCCTTGGGAATAAGAAATCGGTCTTGATTTTCTGTCTACAAGGAAAAGCTGACAGCCACATGCAAAGACAGACAGAGCCATCACCTCTGATGGTTCTGAGGTGCTGCCACATTGGTGCACCCTGGAGCAGCAAGACCTCAGCTGTCATGGTTTAAGCCACTCTGAGTTGGTTATCTGTCACTTGCAACCCACAGCCCCCTGGTGATTACAGCTTTGAAGAACGGACTGGGCTTCCACAGGTGGGGCCAGGCAGGAGAGCATCCCAGGTAGGGCAGTGTGTGGTTTGAGGGCCCAGGGCCCGCCTGGAGGGCAGCCCACCGGAGAGGCCATCCTAGGAGAACTGGCAGGGTGGTGACCAGGTCCTATTGCTCCCTCAGACATTCACCGCCTTTCCTCCCTGTCATCGCCCCTCTGCGAGATCTGCTGGGAACATATGAGTTGTGTGCTTGCGCTCTGACATGACTTAATAAAGAAAGGGCTTTAAAGAGCCGGGAGAAAAGGCTGAGCAAATAAACAGCACTTCACTCTCCGCCTTGGACAACAGAGCAACCGCCCTCATTTCTTCTTGTCAGAACAGAGATAATCCAATAATTAGGGCAGCAAATAGCATAACCCTGGCTAAAGCCGTAATGAACCATCTGGCTTGAATCATTTAGGCTTATTCTAGGGATCTGGTTGTCACAGCCCAGAGGGGGGCATGGTCTGGGGTACTGAGGGGAAGGTGGTCCCACCCCAGAACCTGTTCCCCCACCATGGACAAGAGCCAAGAGTTCTGGGCTCCCGTGCCTAAGATGTTTGCTCAGCCTCCAGCAGGATCCAAGCCTGGGTGGGGCACCCCTTGAAGGGGGCGACAGTGGCCCAAGCCGGCCCTGGCTCTGTGGCACACCATCCTCCTTAGCTCTTCTGAGTCCGTTTTCAGCATTTCTTTGGTATGTCCTGGTAACATGGGCGTGGCCAGCACAAAGTGCAAGCTGGCAAAGCTGCGTCCAGCTCTGCCCTGCACTGCTGACCCTATGTGAGTCTGGCCCCCACACGGCATGTATCTGAGGCCAAGGACCCAGCCCTGCTGCCAGGACATGCCCCGTGAAGGGCTGCTGAGCTGACGGATTGGAGGTGGGGCTGGCTGGCCTGAGTTTTGAGCTTCCCCATCCCCTCCTTGCCTTGTGGGTTAGAGCCAGCCAAAAAAAAAAAAAAAAAAAAAAATGCCAGCTATCCACCTCTTGGCCATTTGCCATCCAGAGGGCCCTCTGTGGCACCAGGAGTGGGGACGGAAGCTCTGCCCTCCCCCTCACTTCCTTGGTGCAACAGTGGAGATGACGGAAATGGGAACAACTTTCCCACCCCTTCTTCTGGGGGAGGCTTTGGATTCAGGCCAGCAGAAGAGACCTGGGTCCCACTTAGGGCCTACCCAAGGGCTCAGCAAGTCCGGGGTGAGCTTCCCACAGGGTTCCAGGAGCAGAGAGGAGGGGCCTGGATCTAGGGCACAGCCCTGAGGGCAAAACACTCTCGCAACCCAATTTCCCCAAGCTGGCAGGAAAGTGGAGGGGCAAGACTGCGCCCCAGCCCCCACACCCCAGGGCAGGGCCTCCATATGCCAGGCGCTGGCCCGAGGGCTGCCGTCCAGGCCTCGAGAAAGTGCATAGCCGGCAGTTTCCCTACGGCCACCCAGCTCTAACTGGCCACTGCTGATGGGCCTCCCCAGGTGGGGCAATGGGGGGGTCTGTGCCCCAGGGTGAGGGGCACTGGTAATTCCCACCTTCATCTTCTGATGGCACATTTGATGTTTGGGAGACTCCAGGCCCGCACCCCGCAGGCCGTGGGAAGTGCCCAAGCCAGGCACAAACACCCCTGCTATGCAGGGGAGGGCCGCCGGGGCCCTCGAGAAGCCAGAGCAGGACTCCTGCCCAGCAAGGGCAATATCCCGGGCAGGGCTGGGGTTTGACGCTGGTTTTCCAGGTCTCTCAGTAACACGGCTGGGACTACAGCTGGACTGGGGCACGGCGGGTGTCTCCCATTCCACCCTGACCCGCGCAAAACGATTCCTCACTGGACTGCGACCTATTCCGGCCTGGGTTTCCCAGCCAGTCCCGGTTTGGCCGGACCAGCACCCTCAGAAACAGAGAAAGGTGCCACGAGCGACCACCCGCCGGGCCTCGGCCCCGGGACTCCGGCGGTTGCCTGTTCCTGGGCTCGGGGCTCAGTTCCGGGGAGGAGGGCGGGCTGGGAGCCCTTCCTGCCTGGGGACAGCGCGCGTAACAGGTGTGCGAAGGTCCGCGGCCCTGCGGAGCACCGCGGCGGGGTCCATGGACATTTTTCCAAAGGACAAGCGGCCTCATGGTCCTCCTGGTCCTCAGCCCGCGCGCCAGCAAAGCCGCGGCGCTCTGCGGAAAGCCGGGCCCACCGGGAGGCAGGGCCGCTCCCAACCCCGGGCCCCTCCCCGGCTCGCCCCGACCGACCCTGGGCCACGGGGCCCTCCCGGAGCGGTTGGCGAGAGGGGAGTGACCGCGCGGCCCGCAGCAACTGGTGTCTCTCCCGGACGCAGCTCCGCCCTTAATGGGAAAAAAGCCGCTGCCCGCACCGAGCTCCCGGAGGGCGGGCGGCCAGGCAGGCAGGGAGGGGGCGCGGCCCGACCCCGGAAACGGGACGCCCTGGGGGATGCCCCCAAACTTCCCTCCTCTCCAGCCCGGTCGGGGCAGGGCGCGGAGAGCCCGGCGACCCCGCCTCCGGGGTGTGCGCGGAGGGAGAGGCGACCACGCGGGGGGCGGGGAGCGACCCAGGGGACCCGCGAGGCCGGGGGCGCCGAGCCCCAGCAAGGGAAGGGGGCGCGAAGTGGGCGAGTTGGAAACTTACTGCAATCGTCCGACTCGTAGCCGTCGGCGTCGGGCTCGTCCTCCGGCGGCTTGGCAGGCGGGCGCGCGGGGCTGGGACCCGGGCTGGGGCGGGGGCTGGAGCCGTAGGCGCCGAAGAGCTGGTCCACATCCTCTTCGTCCTCGCGGGCGCCGTCGGAGGGGCTGCGGGGGCCGGCGCTGGCCGCGGCCGGGCGTGCGGGGGCGTCCGGGGGCGCGGGGGAGCGGAGCGAGGCGTCCGGGGGGAGGCCCCGCGGGAAGCGGGGGAAGTAGTCGGAGATCTGCTTGATGGGGCGGATGGGGCCGGGGCACACGTCGATGGCCATATGCTCCTGGATGCTGATGGTCGCCTTCTCCCCGCGCCGCCGGAGGGTCATGCAGGCAGCGCCGCCCCGCCCGGGCGCAGCCCCGGCCCGGCGCGACCTCGGCCCGGGGGCGGCTCAGCAGGCCCGGCAGGGCACGGCGGGGGCTGTGGGCATCGCCGGCCGCGCCCCCGGACGGCCCTGACGCGGCTGCTGCCCGCTCCGCGGCGGCCGGCGCGAGTGAGTGCGGGAGGCCGGCAGGCAGGGGGCGGGCCCAGCCGCGTCACCCGGCGGCAGCCAAGCAGGGTGAGCGCGCGGGCGGGCTGGCGGGCGGCGCGGAGCGGAGGGGGCGGAGGGAGCCGCGCCGCGCCACAGTCGCCCGCACCCGCACTCACACCGCGCGCGCCCCGGCCCGGGACCCCGCGCGCGCACACTCGTGGTCGCGCAGGGCCGCCAAGCGCTTTCCTCTCACGCACGCTCGCGGGAAAGGCGGGGACCCCGGGACGCACGCAGGTGTGCCGGTGTAGAGACGCGGTGGAGGCCTCCGCTCACTCACACCCGTGGACACACACGCGTGCGTGGGCACACAGAGTTGGTCGAGGGTGCTGCGGCACAGCGCACCCCAATGCCCGCGGGCGCACACCTTGCGGGACACACACACAGGTGATCAAAGGCACCCCCGAGCCCCCAACAACACGCACAAACATGCGCCCATAGAAGTGATCAGGGACCCTGGGCACAACTCCCTCTGTCCTCCTGCATCTATGGGGCAGGAATCTGAGTCAGCTCCTAGCGTGTAGGGACAGGCCGCCTACACATGGGCATGGACATGCCCAACTGTACATGGACACCGCGCACAGTCTGCGCACACATATTCTCAGGTCTCATACTCTAACACAGCACTCTAACCTCTAATCAGCCCCTCACTTGCTCAGGGAGTGGCCTGAAGGACCCACCAGGGCAGGGTGGCTGAGAACCTGGACAGGGTCTGGTCAGGAGGGGTGAGGGCAGGGCCTGGGCCATAAGTGAGGCAGAGGCTGGGCGGCACCTCCACCCCCACCCTTACTTTGGGTCTCTCACCTGGTCAGATCACTAAACAAATTCCACAGGGCCCAGCCCGACTGTCTGGCTTTCCAGGACCAGAGCTCTGGTGGGAATGGCTGTGCGTGGACAGGTGTCCCCAGAAAGCCCTGGACACAGATGGAATTCTGTTTACCCTCTGGTTTCCACTGACCATGAGACGCTTAGCTTCTTAGCTGGGGACCTTTGTTGAGTCTGAATGAGGGGCTCCAAGCCTCTCTTGTTCCCCCACTGTAACCCCTGCAGAGGGATGGGGAGCAGAGGAAAGAGTTGCAAAGCCTTGCCCTGCTCCCTTGCACATTTCTGGCAGGCTATTTGAGCTCTTTGAGCCTCAGTTTCCCCATCTATGAAATGAAGGTATTTCCAGATGCACAGCATTGTGGCAAGGCCCCATCCAGCAGATAACTTGACCGGTAAGAGCTGCTCAGTTGGCTTTCCCTTCTCCCTTCTTTTGGAAAGACCAGACTCATGGTGAGAAGTGATGAGAAATTCATGTTTCGTGCTGAGTTCTGAACTGGGTGGCGGCGGCACTACCGGCCTTTGAACACACTGCAGGAACACATGGCGAACGTTGCACTTGCCAGGAACATTCACAGCTGTCATCTCATTGATCCCTTAACCAGCCCAGGATGTAGGCAGGGCCTGCGGCTCCCACTTCACAGATGAGGAAATTAGCGCTCACACAAGGAATGTGCCCAGGCGACTGCTAGCTGGTGGCTGGGCTGCGATGACAGCCCAGTGTCCTGACTTTCTGCTGCTTCCGCTTTCCCTCGCTTCTCCCTTTCCTCCTCTCTTCTACAGAGCTCAGGGGCTCAGAGCGGAGTTGGAAATGCAAGTAAAATCTTGTTCCCAAAGCTCATCCTGAGGCTTCTTGGACAGGGGAAGCCCAAACTGAGGAGAAGGGGAAGGAGGGGGGAAGAGGAGGAGGAAGAGGAGGAGGTAGGAGCCAACAGCCTCAGGGGTTACAGTGGAAATGAACCAGCCTGTAGCCTGAGGTTCCGGTGGGAGAAAAATTCAGCCTTCCAAGAGCCAAAGGCCAAGGGAAGGACAGAAGAGCCTGGAAGGGCAGCCTGGTAAGGAGGGATTTTCATTTCCAGGAATGCTTAGATTAATCCTTAAATAGGCACTTTTTATGTGCCCGAGGTGGCTGCATCACAAAATGATTATATAATGATACAGGTATTAAAATACAGACGCTGAACCATCATTTTATCATTACGAAGGAGCTAGAGGGTGTTGTCATCTTACTGATGGGGAGACTGAGGATTTCGAGGTCAAGTGACTAGCAAGAGGTAGACTGGGGATGAGATCTGGACGTCCTGACCACCGAGCCTGTGCCTTTTAACATCAAGGCCCTGTGCCTGTGTTCACTGAGAGCTGGCTCTTGTCCTGGGGGTCTGGGTTTTGGAGGATGAGCTCACGGCTCTTGGCTCTGCAGGACCTGGCTTGTGGGGAGGGTTTGGAAGAAGTCAAGTGGAGGACCCAGCATCTGAGCATGGAGCCGGAAACCCCAGGGTGCCCACTGGAGAAACACGTGGCATGTGGGGGCCAGCCTTTGGCAGGTAGCAGAGTTGAAATCCACGCTAGGTCTGAATTTGCCCAGCTCTGAGTCCAGCTGACATGGGGTGGGGCCTCCCCAAGGGATGGAAGTGGTGTTATCTGGGCAGACATTCACTTTCTAGAAAGAGCATAGGTCAAGCAGGCACACTTAGGGTCGGCAGTCAGGCGTGCCTCCTCTCAACTGCCTGACTGGGCAAGTGGCTTAACGTAGGCCCTGGGTCGCATCTGCAATGGGGGAGAAGAACAACCTTGTGTGAGTTAGAGGCCAGGATGGGCACACAGTGCCCGGCACAGTGCCCAGTGTGTACATGGCACTCAGGGAATTGTGGTTCTGCTGCCCCTGCACTGCCTTCCTGGTGCAAACCTTCATGGCACTCTGTACTCGCCTCAATTTCTCACCAGCGAAATTCGGACAGCTGTTCCCTGTCTGCCGCCAGGACCAGGTGAGAAATGGATGCACCTGCCAAGGCGGGGTGCTGGCTGGCATGTGTGGGCATCTCTAAGCAGTTGGACATGTCCAAAGCCTCATCAGTCATGTTGCCTTCCATTCCCCATGCTGGGGTGGGCAGCTGGACCAGCCCTTGGCAAAGTTAAGTGGATGGAGTCTGCCCTTGGGCACAGCCCTCAGGAGCCCTAAGCCCTTGCCTCTCTGCCCCCTGCATTTCCCAACAAGCTTCTGAGCTTTCTCCCAACTCCCCACAAATCCACTCAAAGGCTCCTGTCAAACGAGATAAAGTGGGTTCTTTAAAAAATGGTCCCAGCCTCTGTAGCGATAGCATGTCTAGTTACTTTGTCACCGAAGCTGGAATGCAGTGGTGTGATCACAGCTCGCTGCAGCCTTGACATCCCGAGGCTAAAGTGATCTTCCCAACTCAGCCTCCCAAGTATCTGGGACCACAAGCATGCACCACCATGCCCAGCTGATTTTTTAAGTTTTTGCAGAGATGGGGTTGCTACCCAGGCTGGTCGCAAACTCCTGGGTTGAAATGGTATTCCTGTCCTGGCATTTCAAAGTGCTGGGATTACAAGCATGAGTCACTGCCCCCAGCACAGGATGTCTATCAACAATGCTGGCTGCAGGCCCTCACCTCACACCCACTGACTCAGAATGTGTGCGCAGTCAGGATGCGTCTTAACCAGCACCCCGATGATTCTGGTGCACAATGAAGGTTGAGACTGGCCGGGTGAGAGGGTGCTGACGGTTTACCACAGCGATTGTCAACCTGCTGCGCTGCCTCTGTGCTGTTCACATGTGTAACACAAGCCCATCATGACATCTCTCAGTATTTAGTGATTCTTCACTGGGGAAGCGAGTGTCTAACCCGAGGTGGGTGCTGGGATTTCCAGAGGGGTTTGGCAAAGCCACTCTGGGGAGTCTGATCTCCTCCTGTTTGGGTATTCTGACCTCTTTCCTGTTGGAGAAGGACCAGTCAACAGCTCTTCCTGGAGTAGGTAACGTGTTTTTGAGGAAATACCCTTTGTGCAACACTTGGCTGGATGCTCCTTGGTTGGCATCTTGGCTGGTGTCCACGTGCCCAGAGAGGAAGGGCCCTCTCTGACCCCGACCTTGCATGTATCCCCCGTTTCCACCCCTCCCTGATTACCAGAGGGGCTCCTATCCTGCTGTGCTAATAGTACGTTCTCTGTATTAACAGAAAACTTTAACCCAACCGAGGGCTTGGATGGAGGAATTCCAAACAATGTTGCTGGTTGATGGAAAGGGGCCTTCCAAGGTCTCCTGCCCATTCATTTACTCATGAAGCCACATTTCAACAAATATATATTGGGCACCCCAAAACAGGCCCCTGCTGCGTTCTGATGGGGCTGGTAATAAATAAAGCCCATTTTTCTTTAGATTCCACATGATGGAGAGGAAGTCAGGAAGGGATGTAGGAACCACCTCTCTGGGGTCCCGTGCCTCCTTCTTGACATGCGCCATGGCCTCGGCACGGAGGCAGGCTGGCGTGCTGATGCCAGCAAGTCAGCTCAGCGTTTGCAACACAGCTTGTGGCTGTGAGAGGCCAACTTGATACATTAAGCGATGTTAAAAATGCAGCCTATTTCTGATAATTTATTACGCACATTCTCATAAACACATTACACTCGTCACAGTACATTTACGAGCGCCAGGCCTGCCAGTGGGGAAAAGTTAACACCTACCTAATGATGTTGTTTTGCAGATGTCGAAGGCGCTGGTGCTGCGGTGATGGGCTCAATGGCGCAAAGAAATACGAGTCTTTTTTTCTATCCAGGGACACCAGGAGGCTGCCCAGGGCTGGGCGGAAGAACCAGGCTCTCTCCCTCCACCCTGCCAAGGCCTGGGCTGTGGGATTGGAGAAAGGCCGGGTGAGAGGCTCCCCTGCCAGGAGAGACTTACCCCAGGATCAGGCTGCCTTTGGCAGGAGATTAGATGTCACAGAGGGATAATGCTGAATCCTCTGGGGAAGCTCTAGAAATGACCTCTGGGAGAAAGAGGGGCAGAGCCTGAGGCTTATGTGACAACACAGATGAGCCTTCCTCCGACAGGCCTGGGGACCCCTAGAGCCCAGGATCTTCATGACTGGGGTGAACATCTCAGCAT